TGATTGCATGGGCAAGGAATGTAGGGCACAACATCAACCTGGAAGATTGGGAAAAATCTGGAAGCAAAATTATAAAATAACAAAATTGGCGGTCTATAAAGAAAATCAATACAAAATGTGTAATAGGTGGTACCTGGCACCCTCAAGGTTGGCTAACATGTACCCAAATCTAAGTCCGCTTTGTTGGAAATGCAAGCAAATGAGGGTACCTTCTTCCACACTTGGTGGCTTTGCCCTAAAAGTAAAAAATACTGAAAAAAAATTAGACTTTGGATAAAAGAAATCACAAATATTCAACTAGAATTCAAGGCCGAAATATTTGTATTGGGAATGATAAAAGGTGATTATGCAAAAGAAATGAAATATTTAATTCTTCATATAATTACGGCAGCAAGAATTGCGTTGGCACAATGCTGGAAGGGTGACCAAATGTCAACAAACAATTTGATAATTTGGAAGGTCCTTGACTGCGCTGAAATGGACGTACTTATCCAAAACTAAAAGACGAGGTATACTCAAAATATAGTACAGTTTGGGCAAAATGGTACAATTGGATTAAGGATAAAAACCAGGGAATAAAAAGATAAGGAATGGAAAAAATAAAGTGGTCAGACTAAGAGTAGTTACCAGAAACAGAAAATGAATATTAGAAAAATTGTTTTTGAAAAAAGAACACACTGTCTAATTGATTAGAGACATATATGTTTTATGTAACTCATTGTGTTTTACACATCGATTTCATTTGCAATTAAATGTCTTGTACTATACATTGTACATATTTTTAAAATCTTTAATAAAGTTTATTATAAAATTTAAAAAAGGATCTTGTTGCATTTATTTTCTACTTGCATTTTTACATGCTTTCGAACTGCTAGGTTGGCAGAAGCTGGGACAAGTAACTGGAGCTCACTCCGTTACGTGGTGCTAGGGATTCAAACTGCTGAACTGCCGATCTTTCTGATCGACAAGCTCAGTATCTTAGCCACTCTATGTGTATATTAAGCATATTTTGCCCACATTTTACTTTCTAGAAACCAATTCAGTTTCTTTATTTTGTGAAACATTTAATGCAATTTTCTGAATGAGAATCAGTAGGGCAATTGGTCACATAAATGTAATGTTGAAGACTCATTTAAAACAATTGGATAATTATCCAAAAACCCATCAGAAATGATAATTTAGGACTTGGAATAACTTAGTCTGTACAGCTGTTGTTTTAAAATAGTTTTACCTTTTTCAATAAAATAAAAGTACAGGGGAGTTAAGGGGATGAGCAAAGGAATACACATTTTTTTTCTTATCATGCCTTTTGTTAACTAGAGAGGAAGGACGAACAAATACATATGTAGTATAGTGAAATCCATTCCAAGATATTTAGATACTGGAAGAGTTAAAAGAATGCTCGGGTACATGGACATTCAAAATGCAAAATCAGGTGCTGAGAAGCCAATCAAGAGTGGAACTTCTCCTCTTTTGGGTATGCTTTTAAATGGAGAGGGATCAGCCCTGTACATCTGTCTTTTGTCTTTATTCCTATGAGACCAGTGGTGGGATTCAGCTAGTTTGCACCACTTCGGGAGAAACTGTTGTTAAGTTTCTGAGCAGTTTGGTGAATTGATTGTTTGAAGAAATCATTAGGGCAGAGAACCGGTTGTTAAATTATTTGAATCCCACCACTGTATGAGACCTCAAGCCCAGGGATGGCTGAAAACCACATCAGAAAAGAAGCCTTAACCCATAGAAATCTGGATTAGAGATAACAGAATTATGTACAAGAGATTAAGAACAGTATTGGATAATGCAGAATAGATTCAATTTTACTGTATTTTATGGAGCAATGCTCCACAATGGGGGTTTTGTTTTCTCTCTCTCTCTATGTTATGGGAAATCTTGGGCTGAGGGAAGAGCAGACTAAGATCAATCTCCTCAGAAGTCATTGCTCTTCTCTTTTGCCACTGTTCCCTTTTTCTTTTTCTTTCCTTCCAATATTCTCCTACTTCTGGGATTTGTCTTATATAATAAAGATTCAGTAATGCTTATTTCAGTAAGGGGGCACACTTTAGCACAAGTTTTCCCTTCTGGTAAAGCTACTTATGAGAAGAGGGTTTGGTTTGAATCCTCCTGGCAGAGGGCTCTGTCTAAGGAAAAGTAAGAGGTAGCAGCAATACTGTGAGTTGGCTTTTCCCAAAAGTTTTGTGGAATGCGTGGTGGGATTATGGATGAAGAGATTAGAGACCCTTTCAGGGAATCAGCAATCCCCATCAACGACATTCTATTCTCACATATTGTATGCATATGTTCCATTACAACACTATCCTAGAAGTTTTTATTGAGTGGTAAGCTATTATATCATCAATAGTTTTTTCTCCCTAGCAATTGTGTTTAAGAGTGGAGCTTGAGGACTCCATGTTCTGATAATCAGAGAATGTCCTTCTAATCATTTTTAAATGGCATATCTTTATGTCATCTTTGTGTCATAGCTGAGGCGATTTGATTACATATTTCCCGTATTAAAGTAGTATTTTCCATCTGCCACAATTCTTCTGTAGACACAATCTGTGAGGAAGTGATGGCTGAGGTGGTCAAAAGCTGGGTAGATGGCCAGTTTTGGCTCCTATGGGCATGTTCCTCCTATGCCAACCTTTGACACTCTTTTTCAGGACTTCCATTTGCAGTAAGAGTTGAAAGGCTCAGACTGGGCTATTTTCTCATTATATGCCAGGTCTCTGACTGAGATGAACAGCTCAGTGAAATTTGAAAATATGGTGTCTAATCAGTCAGTTCTCTGCTCACATTTCTCTTGTCATTCCCTCTTGCTTCTAGCAGCCTGGATATTCTTTCTTGCTTTACTGGGAGGCCCCCAAATTCAATACATTTAATAAAGCCTGATGTGTAGTTTACCCATGTCCTTTATCAAATCAATTGAAAAATGCTCATTCCACGTTTTACAAGGTATTTTTTTATATACAGCAGAAAATTGCCTATTAATTGCTTTAAAGACACCTTTAAAATAAGGCTGGAAACACAGAGTGTTTACACCTTTAATCTTCAGTGTAAGAAAGTAAAGTTGTATCTTTATAAACTGTAAGAATTTAAAATAAACAGCAGAAAGGATGAGGAGGTTTGGGATATAGAAAGTTTAAATAAATTAAGAGCTCAGAAAACCTTGGAATATTGAACTGAGTGTTAAGACTTTGAAATTAATTTTAAATAATCAATTTTTTCTTATGGGAAAGAAAAATGTTTTTAATAGGACAAGCAATTTATAATGGCATGCAGAATTTTTTTTTTTTTGAGGAACTGCATTATGATTTTGAATCAATAATATCAGCTGTGTTATGTCTTCTTGAAAACAGTCTGTTCCTAGAAGATGTTACAGAAAAAGATGTGCAACAAAGTCCATCTAAAAACAATGTGAATAAGAATTTGAACAAGGATTTGCCATTAGACATTAAAAAAATGGATGAGGAATTAAGATTTAAGGAAATATAATGATAATCCCATAGAACAATCAGAATAATTTCCTTTGCTGGACCCACAAAAGTTTTTAAAATATTGAAGAAATTCAAAACAAGAATCATCAATCATCTGAATGGATTAAAGAGCAAAATTGGTTTATGTCAAAGGAACACAAAGTTAGTTAATTTAATCAGGGTTAAAATGGGGACATATTCTGAGTGGTTCTTTTTGGATTTTCTGACATCTGGACTGGAAAAATACTCTGTATTAGATCTGTTTTCAGTTAACATGGTTTTTCCCCCTATAGTTACTTTATGAATCCTAATCTGATAACATTTAAATTGGCTTTATATCTGTCCTTTAAGCTGAAGAATTTTTGTAAGCTTGTTCTTTTTAAAGGAGAAATTATCCTTCTTTGTCATGTTAAATTTTAATGTTCATACTAGAATATTGGAACTACCTATGCCTTCTAAATGTAGATTTGCTTATAATTAGGAGTTGAGATACGGAATGTTCATTACAATGGGACATATTTTATTTGATGTGGTTCTCTTTTGACCTTTTGATATCTGGAATGGAAAAATGTTATATATTGGTTTTTTAAAACTTTTAGTTTGTAGTATCTTTTACTAATGTAATTAAAATTTTTAATAAATTTATTTTAAAAAAAACAGAAGGGGTGAAAAGTCACAGAAGATCCCGCTTTTTTCTCATGTTACAGCCTGGAGAAGATAGGGGCTGAAAGAAAGAACTGACAATTGAGCTATCTTCTACTCAAGCAACCCTTGGATACATCCCCAAACATTAAAACTATCCTTTATGATTTCATCAGAATTTGGAGGAAACTGTGAAGAGAGCATACCATCCCACTACTGTGAGAAACATCAGATGTTACAAGTAACAAGAGATACCTATAATTAAGTCAGCAGCACTGCATGAGCACAAAATTATATGCTGCTATTTATAACAACTATTGTCCCATGAACACACTAAAAACTCTAGGGGGCTAGTGGAAATGAGCAATATTATTCAGGAAAATTTCATTTTAATCTCCCTAAAAGGAAATGACAACTCCTCCAAGGAGAAACTAGCAAGCCTCCTCAGAGAATTACGTTCTTAACTGTGAAAACCAGAGTATAACAAGTTGTATACGAATGATACAGACACTCAGTGGATTGTCTCAAATAATGAAAGAGAAGATGCTGAAATAAATAAAGGAACATCCGAGTCTTTAATTCATTATACTTCAAAAAAAAAAAAAACACAAAAAAATGAATAGAGGATTTGTTACTCATGGGATACCAGGACACAATCAAAAATTTATGCCAGCAGCTGCGTTCATGTTCTGAAAATTCATAACAAAAGCCTGTGCCAGTAGTTGTACAGAAGCCTCAGTTTTCCTTTCACGTTGTACTTCTTATAGCAAGGGTCCCCAAACTTGGCAACTTTAAGACTTTGTGGACTTCCAGAATTCTTCAGCCAGCATAGCTGGCTGAGGAATTCTGGAAGTTAAAGTCTACAAGTCTTAAAGTTGCCAAGTTTGGAGACCTTTGTCTTACAGCAGTCAATGCATGAAGTCTTCTGGGACTTTGTTCCAAGGGAGCCATTTACTGACTGAAGCTTGCAAGGCACTGATCCACCTGGAAAAAAGGACAAGCCAAAGCTGATAATTAAATGCATGGACTTTTATCTAACTGCAAATTAAAACACACGTAATTACAACATAGTAAATGAGATCTCAAACATACCTTTTAAAAAAAAAACCTGTATCATCAAGAACAGAAGTTCACAATCTTGGCAACTTTAATATGTGTGGACTTCAATTCCCCAGCCAGGAATTCTGGGAGCTGGAGTCCATACATTTGAAGTTGCTAAGATTGGAATTCTTGACCTAGAATTTCAAAATGCGTCATATCCATTTGTTACCACAACACTTCATTCTTTGGATCAGTTTACAGAAAGTAGCTAACCTTTGCAAAGATTGCACAGGTTGCAATATTTTTACTTACTGCAGATATCTGCCTTACCTTGAAAATATATAAGCATTAATATATTTGAGGCAAGAGATGAAAAAAATCATCCTGCTCTTTCACAGATCTGGCTCTACCTTAGCTTGCTTAAATGATTATTCACTTGACTAAATACTTTTAAAAAAAATCATCTGAGTTGATGGGTTGAATCCAGATTAAGTCAAGCTTAGTATAAACCCATTTAAATCCACAATATGTAAATTATTTTAATTGGGCCTATGCCAAGTAAATATGGTTAAAGCTGGATTCAGTTGACTGTGTGAAAGACTTCTCAAGGGTATAGCTATCTATATTATGAGACACACATCCCTTTTAAATACTAATATATCATTAGGTTTATTATGCCAGCTTTTGCTATCACAATCACTCCAAAATCCCTAGTAAACGTCTACTAGCATTGATTCAAGGGAACTGAAATCTAACACTTGGGGAGGGATATGACATCGAACATGTAAACAAGCTAAATACACTACTAACATGGGCAGCATCCTGCCCACATGCTTTTATCTTTCTTGATGACTTCAATCTACCTCATATTGACTGGACCCTAAATGAATGTACAACTGAACCCATACACGCAACCTTCTACAATGCTGTTACAAATCTGGGACTGGAACAACTAGTAACCAACAACACTAGACTAAACAACTACCTCGATCTCATCTTCTGCAATAGTTTGAATTTAATTTACAGAATACAAACTAAAGAACCCTTTTCCAGCAGTGACCACAATATGATTGACTTTTGTCTCAACATATGCCCACACAAAAGATCACAATGACGTAATCCCCAATTATAACTTCAAAAAAGGCAACTATGATCTTATAGACAATCTCTCATCCCTTGATTGGCAATCTCTATTCACTGGATGCAATACTGTTGAAGACCATTACAACATATTTGTACTTGAAGTCAAAAGAGTCATCAAACTATATGTACCAACAACAACTCCCAAAACAAAAACAAAAAAACAGATTACCCATAACAATAAGGAAACTTCAATCCAAAAAGAGATCACTCTGGTGGAAAAACAAATCTGGTCACGTTGCCAATTTCCCCAGCCTAGTTGAAAATTACAGACCAATCTCCTTATGCTGTGTCACCTGTAAAGTCATGGAATCAATTATTAACCAATCCATTATCCTCCACTTAGAGACAAACATCCTACTCTCCAATAAACAATTTGGTTTCAGGAAAAAACTATCCTGTAATCTGCAACTCTTACACTGCAAAAACATATGGACTACACAATTCGATCAGGGCAAAGCAATAGACGCAATCTACATAGACTTCTGTAAAGCCTTTGATTCAGTGGTACACGACAAACTACTCCTAAAACTAAAATCTTATGGTATCTCTGGACAACTGCATAAATGGATAGAAGCATTCCTGGCAAACAGACAACAAATGGTCAAAATTGGGAATGTCCTATCAAATTCTGTACCTGTCAATAGTGATGTCCCCCAAGGCAGTGTTCTACGACCAACTCTCTTCATACTCTACATAAATGACCTCTGTGATCATATTAAGAGCAACTGCGTTCTTTTTGCTGATGATGTAAAGCTGTTCAATAACACAGACAATACTGCTACCCTTCAAAAAGATATTGACTATGTATCAGAATGGTCAAACAAATGGCAACTTCAAATCTCAACAAATAAATGCTCTGTCTTTCATATTGGCAAAAAAAAATCAGAAAATAAAATACAAGCTGAATAGTCAAGATCTTGTTGATGATCCAAGCTCTGTAAAGGACCTTGGAATCCTCATCTCTAATGATCTAAGTGCTAGAGCCCACTGTAACTACATAGCCAAAAAAGCATTAAGAGTTGTTAACCTAATCCTATGTAGCTTTTTCTCTGGTAATATCACACTACTAACTAGAGCATACAAAACATTTGCTAGACCAATACTCGAATACAGCTCATCAGTCTGGAACCCACATTACGTATCTGATATTAGCACAGTTGAGAAAGTCCAGAAATATTTCACAAGAAGAGTTCTCCACTCCTCTACTCGTTGTAGAATACCTTATGCCACCAGACTTGAAATTCTAGATCTAGAAAACCTTGAATTACGCCGTCTTCGGTCTGATCTAAGTATGGTATATAAAATCATACATTGCAATGTCCTACCTGTCAATGAACTTCAGCTTCAACCATAACAACACAAGAGCACACAATAGATACAAACTCAAGGTTAACCGCACGAAACTTGATTGCAGGAAATACGACTTCAGCAACAGAGTGGTCAATGTCTGGAATACTCTGCCTGACTCTGTGGTTTCTTCCCCAAACCCCAAAAACTTTAACCTTAGACTGTCTACTATTGACCTCACCCCTTTCCTAAGAGGTCTGTAGGGGGCATGCATAAGCGCACCAACGTGCCTACCATCCCTGTCCTATTGTTTCTTTTCTTTTTCTTATATGTACCCATTTCATGTATTCATAACTATGTTTTTACTTATACCTATTATCTTGTAAGCAATTGACAAATCAAAATAAATAAAATAAATAAAATACCAAGTCTACTCTATGCAGGATAATCTATGAGAGCATAAAGGGGCAAAATAATGTTTTGGGGTGCAGTGAACAGAGGAATATTACAAAGTGGGCTTGGTTTTGTTATAGTTTGGCTAAGTTTTCATGACTCTGATTCAAACAGGACATAGTGTACTTCTGTCCTTTCTGTCCTTTCTGAGTATATATAAGAGAAAAAGAAATTTGGGGTCACATTGTCACTTAGATCTAAGGTTGTCCAGCCTGGCTTAAGAATTTCTCCAGGAAAACTTAGTTCATAATCAGTTTATTAATCTTTAATATCTTGTAGGATCTTTGTTTTGAAAAACGAATCTAATCATTTGCAGATCTCCTAGCATTTCTATGAATGTATCCTAGACTACTTAATATTTGAAAGGCATTTTTGTTTTGTCCGCCACAAAGAGCTTACATTTCTTCATTTGTTCTTGGACTTGGTCCAAGGTTACCATTTACCCAGGCAGAACTTTGAAGGAAGACTGTGCTGTGAAACTATTAAATTACATTTTGTCAGCAGATTGCACTCTCTTAGTGCTTCTACTTGATTTTTCAATGTTAAATATTAGATTAAGGTACATGGATAATGGTAACTCAATTAGTGCTTTTGCATACAGTAACTTGCTGAATTTATTTGCAATTGGATATTACATAAGATACTTATTTGCATTGCATTAAGAGTACATGAAGGGTACTCCTAATATTTGTTTATACACATGTAAGTTTATATATAGAGAAAGATATTTAAAACCTCTTTCATATAAATACATAAAATCTGTCAGTTGTGGATAATGCTTCTATTTGATGAAGTGAGTTGCAGCCCATGAAAACTACATTTTTTTTTAAAGACCAACATTATTTATTTTCGTATAAGTATCAATATTCATATTTTTATTGCAAAACAATTAGAGCTTCCTTTTAAATAACTAGGCTTTTCCATTATTTATCCTTGCCTCCATATTTGTAAGAGAGATAGAGTAATAGTATTCATACTTTGAGAGCCAATTTGGTTTAGGAGTCAAGGCACCAGATTGGAACCAGGAAGATTGTGGGTTCTACTTCTACCTTAGGCATAAGCTGAGTGACCTTGGGCCAATCCTTATATAAATAAAAGAAAATTCTTAATTGTCCAGGCAATGTTTTCAAATCCTGTTGAACTTCCGTGTAATTTTTTTTCCTGCACCTACAGTGAAGTATAAACAGGCAAGCAGAAATATACCGGGGGTGGGTGTGGGTGGGGCGTATAGTTGGAAAAAAGATGAAATGATTTACCTTTGGTTTTCCTTGACACTTTCGGCACATAAGTAGAAAGTAGTAAACTCTTCTGAAGGTGGCTGTACTTCAATCACAGATCTTCTGGAACCAAGGGTTTGTTCACTCACGGTGTAGCCCTGCAAGTAAATGCCCCCTGGGGGAAGTGGGGGAGATGGTAAATAAATGGCAAAGAATACTGGAAAAACTCCAAAAGATGTGATGGGAAAGGCTATTATATTTGGGCTATGAAAAGCCTGAAAACCAATCTGTGAAAGCACTCTTGAATGAGAGTTTCATGCTGACTTGCAGACAATTACTTCATAAAATACAGATAGTTGCAGAATTCAGCAATTTTAAATTTTAGTATTTTAAAACAGAATTATCCTGTCTCAAGAGTCCACTCTACCATGGAAATAGGAGTTCCTCTATCTCAAGAGACTGTTTCATCAATGTGAGGAAAATGAACATATGAACCTGGGCTTTGAGGAGATTATGAAAGAAAAATCTGGAAAAAAATTATAAAATGGGTTTATAAACATGACTAGCTTAAACTTAATTTAATTATTTTTATTTATTTAAATATTTAATTTCTCTGGCTAGTCACTCAGCCATGAATCTCTGGTCAGCTTATAAAAGTTAAAACAAGCTGGCAACGATACGGCATGCGATCTTGGAGGTCTGAGATTGCTGACGATATCTTTGCTCCTGGACGGTCCAAACAGATCTAAACCGTCCCGAAGAGATGGTGAATGTAAAGAGCGCAGCCTGTCGATCCCAGGGACACTACAAAGTCCCTGGTAGATTCAGAAGAAACTCTTTTTGTCAGTGGCAAAGAGGCAGCCATTAAAGCTGCTGAAGTTGGGACAGCTCCGAAACGAAAGAGAACGGAAAGAGAAAGTGTGCCGGTTTGGTGAGAATTTTTTTCTTTACTTTAAGATTTGAAAGGACACCCTAAGGAAAAGAAAGAATCTGTAAAAGTTTTGACAGAAGTGATTAAGCGGCGATTTTAAACAGGAAGTCAAAGTAATTTTTTTTTCCTTCTCATTGCTGGATTTTTTACACATGATTTTATATCTTGAAACTGGACTGTTTTTTTCTTCTTCTTCCACCTATTATTTCTCTCCTTTTTGACTTTATAATATTTTAGGCTAGAGACTCCCTTCTAGTCATCTTTTTAAATATCTTTTTCCATTTTTAATTAATTTTTATTATATCTTGTTTGGAAAAGGAGGGGGAAAGGGAAAGCAGAAGAAACTTTGTAGCACTGCCAACTAGAGGCTTGGAAATATTCTACCTCTTTTTTTTTCTTGACCAGACAAAGCTGAGAAAGAACTGAGACTTCTTTTCAAGGACATTGCCTGTTTGATAAGATAGAGGGAAGAGCATGGGAGAGTATTATTGCAGGTGCTCTTCTGGGTTTCTATCAATAGCTGGAGTCTGGTGTTGAAGTTTATAGAAAAAAAAGGTGATAAGACTCTGGAGAAGAGAGTTATAAACTTTAACAAAAGCCTTGGATAACCAAACAAGGTGCAGTGTGCTCTTTTTACTTTTTTTAAGATGGGCTATTTCTTACTTTAATAAACCCCCTCCTTACTAGCTTACTTTTTGTAATAGCTATTTGGATCTTTGGCCTTTTGGAACTTGTTTTTGTCTTTCTTTTTGTCTTTTTAAGTCTAATTTTTACGTTTGCACTTTATTTTAAAGGAAAAGCTTTAGTATTAATGATCTCCTTCCTTTTCTTTTTAAGGGAGTAGTCTCTTTTCTTTTTTCTCTCTCCCTCCCTTGTATTTTTTTTCTATTTACCTTCCATATTGTTTTTTTTATTTTTGTGGCTTTCTTTATTTTCTTATGCATCCTTTTATACCTGAGACCTTTTAATTGGATTGGTGTTGAAGAACCTGAAGAACTTTTCTTTTCTCTTCTTTAGTTTTTTATTTTTTACTTTTCTGCCTTTTTCAGGATTTAACAGTTTTTCTTTTTTGTGTGTGTTTATGGTCTTTTCTTCCATTTTTGAGTTTTTACTGCTATCTAACCAATTGATTGGATTAAGGTATACAAGAACCTGAAGAAATTGTATTATTGTTATTATTTGGCTTCTTTTTTCCCACTAGTTTTACTTGGAATTACAATTGGTTATTTCACAAGTGGATTAAGGTCTAGAAGAACCTGAAGATTTTGAATTGTCTGAAATGAGTAGGAATCTAACAGCCCCGGTTCCTCAACTTCTACTTCTTCCTCTTCACCATCTGGAGGACAACGCTCAATACAGTTGATGTTACAGCAAGAAAAAGAACAGGAAAAAGTGACACTGCAGATGACTATGCAAAGAATTGAAAATATACAAATAAGAACAAAGAATATTGAAAAGAGAACAGAGAACATTGAACAAAGAACAGGAAAAACTGATGAAAAGGTGAAGTACTTGGGCAGATCACAATCCAATGACAATTAAATGGAAAGGACAAAAAAGAAGATCTAGATGGACGTTAAATAATACTATATTAAAGGAAAAAAACTCCATACAGTGGATGGAGAAAGAACTGGCTTTCTTCTGTAGAGAAAACAAAAAAGAAGATACATCAATGTAGAACGTATGGGATACAATGAAGGCATATGCCAGAGGCTTGATAATAGACTATACAAGAAAAAAAAATACCATGAAAAGACTAGTCTCTAAGGCATTAGAGGATGAGTATAAAGGACTTGAAAAAGAGCTACAGAAAATGCCACAGAAAAAGGACATTAAGTTAAAAATGGATATAATTAAACATAAAATGGGACTAATGGAAAAAGAAGAACTAGCACAGAAAATCAGAGGTGCGAAACAGAACTATTTTTAAGATGCAAATAAACTAGGTAGATGGTTAGCATATAAATTGAGAAAGGAGAAAGAATTAAGAAAAATATTGCAATTAATAGATGACCAAGGCCAAGTTTGCTATGGTAATAAAGAGAAGAAGGAAATTATACGAGACTACTATGGGAAACTATACACACAAGAGAATATTGATGAGGAAAGAGTTAAACAGTACTTACAGAATGCTAATCTACCCCAGATACCTAAAGAGATTGAAACAATGTTAGAAAGCTATATAACGATGATGGAGTTAACTGAAGCACTTAAGAAGCAAAACAGTGGAAAGGCACCAGGCCCAGATGGACTCCCAGCAGAATTTTATAAAACACTACAAGAATCGTTGAACCTTCCATTGCTAGAAGTTATGAATGAAGTTATGTTACAGAAGATACCCAAATCATGGTCAGAAGCTTATATTACACTTGTCCCAAAAGAGGAGGCCGATCCATTACAAATCAAGAACTATAGACCTATTTCGTTACTAAACGCAGATTATAAAATTTTTGCTTCAATATTGGCAGAAAGACTTAAAAAATACTTAAACAATTTTATCCATCCTGATCAAAAATGGATTTTGCCAAAGAGACAAATTAAAGACAATATGAGAGTAATCTTGGACACTTTGGAATACTACAAGGCACACCCTGAAAAACAAATGGCTTTGATATTTTTAGATGCACAGAAGGCATTTGATAATGTGAATTGACGATTCATGTTATTACAGCTGGAACAGATGGGCTTTGGTAAAAAATTTATTCAAGCAATAGAAGCTATATATCAGAACCAAACGGCAAAGGTAATGATAGAGGGAGAACTGAAGGACTCTATTGATATAAGAAAAGGAACAAGACAAGGGTGCCCACTATCACCTTTGATGTTTGTGTTAACCTTGGAAGTGTTAAACAGAAATATTAGAGAAGAAAAGGATATAAAAGGGATGAAAATTAAAAAGGAAGAATTTAAGTTGCAAGCATTCAAGATGATCTGGTTTTCATTTTAGAAGACCCACTAGAAACAGCATCAAAATTGATAGAAAATATAGAGGTATATGGAAAGGTGGCTGGTTTGAAAATAAATAAAGATAAAACAAAGATCTTGACAAAGAATATGCTATCAAGACGAAAGGAAGAACTGGCGGATGTATTAAAAATTCAGGTCACGAATAAGATCAAGTACTTGGGGATATATTTGACAGCAAGATGTAGTACATTAAAAGAGAATAATTATATCAAACTTAAACAGCAGATAGCGCTAGATTTGGCAAAATGGGAAAATTTACAACTGTCATTAATAGGGAGAATATCAACAATCAGGATGAATATACTACCCAGAATTTTATATTTGTTCCAAACAATTTCAGTTAGGCTTGGAAAAGATTATTTTGAAGATTTAAATAAAATTGTGCTGAAATATATATGGCAAGGTAAGAAAGCGAGAATAAAGTTAAAACTTTTGCAAGATGCTAGAATAAGAGGAGGATTTGGTTTGCCTAATTGGGAGTTGTATTACCAAGCTACAAATTTGATGTGGGTTAAGGAATGGATAACATTAAGAAATACTAGATTGTTGACACTAGAAGGACATGATCTGTTTGGGGTGGCATGCTTTTCTATGGTATAAAGGAATTAAAACATAGGGGCATTTTAGAAGACATTATATACGGGAGTCTCTGTGGTTAAACTGGGAGAAGACTAAAAGGCAATGTTATTTGAAAATTCCAGTCTGGCTATCGACTATTGAAGCATTTTCTTATCCTATAATATATAAAAAGGAGCAAACAGTTAGATATGGTGAAATATTGAATGAAAAGGGTGAACTTAAATCTACGCAAAAATTAGAGGAACAAGGTATAAAGATGAATTGGTTTTCATATGCGCAAATACATTCTAGGTATGATAAAGATTCTAAAACAGAAGGTTTCTATGATAAATTGACTGATTTAGGTAAGATTTTGACAAATACTGATGAAAAGGTGATTAAAAAATTGTATGGATATTTATTAGAAATTAAACTGGAAGAAGAACAAGTTAAAGAAACTATGATTGCTTGGGGGAAGAATTTTGGATATGGGATTGATCTAGAGAAATGGCAAAAATTGTGGTCTCAAAATTATAAAATGACAATGTCAACAGCATATAAAGAAAATTTGTATAAGATGTTTTACAGGTGGCATTTTCCCCTGACAAGAATAGCAAGAATGTTCAAGAACAAATCTGGAAAATGTTGGAAATGTCATCAGATACCTGGCTCATATTACCATATGTGGTGGAGTTGTGCGGATGCCAAAAAATATTGGACTAAAATCCACACGTGGTTGGAAAAAATGACAAAAAAGCATACAGACTTGAAACCAGAGATATTTTTATTGGGAATTTTACCTGAAATATATAGTAAAGAATCGAAATACCTTATTGTAACTGTATTACCAGTGGCTAGGATTGTATTTGCTAAAAATTGGAAAAATGAGAAAATACCATTACAGGAGGAAATCATTAAGAAAATATTGGAATGTGCTGAAATGAGTAGATTGACATTTGAAATCAGAGAACAAGATGATAAACAATTTTATAAAATTTGGGATCTATTCTATCAATGGTTAGACAATAAAACATGGTAATGAAATATGTAGATTCTTAGAAAATAATAAATATATAAAGATGTATTCTTTTCTTATTATATCTACAGAATGATTGTAGGATAGATTTGAGATGATAATATGAACTCATAAAACAAATTAAGTAAAATATGGATTATTTCGTAAAACATGAATGAATAAAAGTATAGTCAAATGATTGATTAACAATGATATTAATGTATTTAATATTTGATTGAAAATATGAGAATATATACAATGTAATTGTAATTGAAGATTATGAAATGGAAGCACAAAACAATTTGTAAACCAACCGACACACTGTATGTATATATATGGAAGATGGCTTGATGTTTTTATGTTTTGTTTGTCTATGTTTGTCTTAAAAACCAACAATTTTTTTTTTAAAAAAAAAAGTTAAAACAACAAAGTAACAATTATGACAGCAGAGATAATGGCCTTCTTGGAGCCCATGAGATGATTTATGTAATAGATGGGACCCAAATTCCTTGTGTGTCCAATCACACTTGGCCAATAAAGAATTCCATTCTTCTTCTATTCTTCTTCCAAAGCATGCCATAGTTCTGAAGGATCCCACAAATCAGGGCTCTTGGCTCTGACTGCTACTTTCTGCCAAAAACTGACTGAAATTAACCACAGTGAAAGAACAACACTACAATATTATATTCCCAATATAAAACAAACTAAAATACAACAGAGAAAAAAATAACCAAAGAGAGAAATAAGATAAAATGTGCAATAATATACGTATGTTCTAAGTCATGTGGTTATTGCCACCATCTACACATCTACATTTCTCTATGTTTCACCAGAATCTTTTTTCGGCTCTATTATACACAGAAGGCTAAATAGAAGACTGTCCTCACACATTTAGCATATGGAAGATGCAATCAACTGTCCCACTTGCTATACTGATTTCTAAATATGTATGTTATATAACTACCTTACATATTTTAAGAAGGATATAAAATAAATTAGTGGGAGAAGATCATTGCTTTTTCTAGCATAATTCAAAAGGTTATGGAAGTTTATATAACAGAATTATAATATTACCATTTACACAATATTACAAGATATTATAAACTATTTTATGTAACTCATGGAAAAAATGCTATTTCTCTAAAGGGGAAAAAGAATGCAAAACAGAAAGGCAGAGCCACCTACCAACAGCATGTGTAGAACGTATGCTAGCATAAAAATATAAACAGCCATCTTTCAAAATGCAATAATGTTGAACCCATATATTCTTGGTTTTGTCTAGCTGGTGGAGGAGCCCCAAGCACTCTGGGTTTTTGATAGCAAGCGGCGGAAGGCTTGTATTGTGCATGGTGACATCTTCCCACACATGGTTCTGTTGTTAACATTAGAAAATAAGTCAATTTTACCCACTTGTACCAAAACTACTGACATGCAAACATCTCTACATGTTTTTAAAAGCGGACTAATCAATTATTTGTTCAGTATGCAACAAATACCTTTCATTTTTAGGGCTAAACATCTGTCATATCCAATTTGTGTCCTTCTATTATAAGAATGTCTAGTGCATTCAATTTTTAAACATCATTATATTTACTGTAAGTGACCATTTCATGACATCAAGAAACACTTATTGAGAAATATATCTAATGGTAGTAGAAATTTTTCTTAAGTAGTGAAATGAAGCTACTTCTTAATTCAATGATAATTATTCAATGTGCTTCCTAAATAGGACCTTTAAATGAGGCAGTTGAAATGTAACCTCAGAAACTATTTTTAGGCATCAACATTCACTCTGGAGCTTGCTTATAAATGAATTTCATGACATTTAAGTTTCTTGGGGGGAAAATCATTTATCATAAGTTCCTGTAGATTGCAGCTGATAAAGCAGCTTGAATGCATGAAATTTTATTGCACATAAGTTTCATGATCTTTAAAATGTCACAGAAGTTTGAGAAGTTTCTAAGGGGCAGCTCTGTCATGGACACATTGATATGATTGAACATCCAGTTGCTGTTATTTCTCACTGTCAAGGATGAGCTTTGTTTTACTGACTCGTTTCAAGCCTGAGCTGAAATACTCATAAACATTTATATTATTATGGTTTGTTGTACAGCCAGATGTTCAGATTAGATTTGGCATTTTTATCCACCTTTCAGTTCTTCCCAAGGATCTGGACTATGCAGCTGTTGATGTTTGATGGTGTTACAAATATCATTGCAGGATGTAAGTTGTTCTGAGTAAAGCTGCCTTTTGCAATTTATTGGTGGTGATTTTGTTAATGCTGATGGTGTTCAAATGGTTCAAATCCTGTTGTGTTGAGATTGCACCCAAGGCATTTATTACTATTGGTACCACCTTTGCTTTGTTCTACCACAGTTGTTCTATTTCTATTTGCAGCTTTTTGTATTTTGTTATCATCTCCTTTTCTATTATTAGTATTATTCCAGACAGGAAATAAGTGGTAAGCCACTTCTGAGAAAAAGCATAGTTTTTATTGGCACATTTATGTGATTACTGTATGAAACAAGAATGGATAAAAGGCTTTGAGCAAATTTAATATAATGGTTAAGTTACTGAGCTAGAACCCAGGAGACTGAGTTCTAGTCCTGCCTTAGGCCAGAAAACCTCAGGTTTACTATGAGACAATCACTTTCTTAGCCCACAACTTCAGGTTTCAAAAACAAGCTGGTCAGTCAATTCGTGTTGCAACCAATGGATCAATACTCAATTATTATTATTTTTTAAAGGAGGAGGGACCCTGCATGTGTTGGAAAACATTAGGAAGAAAAAAACAAGTCCATTAATAAGGCCATTAATTCCAGAAGTTTATTTTTTATTGCATTTACTGGTCATCCCTCTTCAGATACCTTTGGGCATCTTGTGTGTGTGTGTGTGTGTGTGTGTGTGTGTGTGTGTGTTTCTACATAGTACATGCATATACACACTCACAGAGTGAATTGGTGAAAATGTCAAACCCTGAGGATCTCATAGATGAGGAGTCATGCAGAATCTCTCCCTACTAATTAACACTAATTGAAACCAAAGAATGGAAGAGAACCACAGTAAAACAATGCCTCTCACCCTCACTCCAAGATGCTGATCCAAAAGAATATAATGGTTAATGATAATGAAAGCTGCAAAAAAATCAAGGGACATGAGGATACATGAATCATCCCATCTCCATCACAGATCCTACTTCCTTCAAATCTTAGGTCTGGGTTTTTGAAGAGAATGTGGACTAGAACTTCTTCAAAGCCAATGGCACCACTTCCTCACTCAAAAAAGCTGACACCTTTCTATAAACTAAATTACAGGTCACTTCCCAGGTGACTATCCAATAGGGCTTGATCTAACAACACATGTGTCAAGGTAACAGATGGAAGAACTCGGTCCATTTCCTCAGGAACTCAGAATAAAACTCACTCCGGATAACTTCACAAGGCTTTTGCTCAAATACTTCAACTGGAACTGACCAGTTGGATTCCAATACTGAGTAGATCTGAGCAAGTTTATTTGTAAAATATCAAGAATATTCCTCATAAGAGTCCTAGAGATGATACTATGGCTTGTCTTTCCTCATCAGCAACTGGGTTGTTATAACAGTCTGCCAGGCAGGCACTAGCAAATACAATAAGGATGGAGAAATGAGAACATTTTAACATCTTTATAACTACAGTGTAAACTCTAATTGGCATCCTTACTCATGCTTGGTTGGATTCATTCTTAGTCTTCATTCAACAGTGATCCAGGCATTTCTTTATATGCTTCATTTCCTGGAGTTCCTCAGAAAATCAAGATGTATCCCAATATTGGCACAGGGAGAGGGGCTATGTAGGGGCAATCTGATCTAAGGCCCCATCAACATACTCATTTCAGGATGCCATCTCAGCCTAACAGTCCACCAGACTCTCATGGAAAAGCTCAAAGTCTTTTTATTTTTATTTTTTAAAACAAGTTTTATTAATTTTTAAAACACACAAATTGTCATTATTCATTACATGTTTAAACCTTTTTTCATTGTCAATTTAACAAGTCAGATAAATTATAATTCTGTTTTAAACCATTTCCATACAACATACCAAAACCTCTTATTCAATTTCTCTTTACTTCTCTTTACTCTTATTCAATATCATTATTATTATTTCATCTGTTTCTTTCTGACTTAGTTACCATTATTCTCAATCTATATTTCTACAATTTTTAACTAATTCTCCCCCCAAAAAGACATATACACACAACACACAAAACATAAAAAAAAATCTTTTTGGAAAGTAACTTGGACCCAGGTGTCTCTCTCTTCATGGACTTCAATTATATTCATGCTCATCTTACATATCATTACTTATTTTATTTACCATTCTAAGCCTTCTATATTAACTTCCCCACATATTTCACACTTCTTACTTCTATCTTAATTAATCATCTTAATTTGAATCATTATATTTATATCTTTTGTCCATTTTTTATCATCCCTTTGTCTCATTCCTTATAAAAAAAAAAGAAAATAAGTTTCTCCTGAAATCATTAATCAGAGTATGATGCCTTTCTATCTCCCCCCTAAGTTAATCAAATTAATCTTTAAAATAATATCTAATACCCAATCCGATTTTGCTTGGTACATTCTATCTAACTAATACATCCAACACAATTAAGTACATAATTAGACAATAAATCCAAATATTAAAAAAAGATACTATAATAAAAATTTTATAATAACATCAATACCATAGTCTTATTAAACTCTTTAATTAAAACAATATTCTAAACCTCCCCTATTATTAAGTTTTAAAGCCAATCATTTTTAAACATTTAAACATTTTAATCTCTTATCAACTCTTAAATCATTACAATACTACCATCTCATCTTATGTACCTTGCAAAATCTTTTTTTTTAAAAAAAATTATACTTTATCCATTATCCAAAAAAAATTTCTTTTTTTCATTTAATTTCAAAACATTGTAGCTTTTCTCCACCTTTTCCCTTTCTTTCTTCTCCCAACAAACCTTTCTACCCCCCCTTCTTCTAGCCTCTGCCTTGCCAGCTTCCCTTCTCTGTCGTATTCCTTTTCCCTTTTGTTTACTATCATCATATTGGTTTTGCACCTTATTTTTCCCTTTCTTAAATGTTTTTTTAGATCTTAAGTCCTTAAGTCCTTTAATTTTCTTCTTTTCTCTTCTTTTCTTTTCTTTCTCTCTTCCTTCTTTCTGGATCAAGTTCTGAGATTCATTAAAAATGGCTCCTTTCTTTCTTTCTTGTTCCTCTGCTGTCTTCATCTGTTGTAATGTTTGTTGATAATTAATAAGCGCCATTTCTAAGAAAAGGAAAGCTTCTTCCACACCATCTTTACCATTTTTTTTGCTTGTTCATATTCTTTTCTTAGTTCCTCAACAGAAAGAGCCATTATAAATCTTTTCTTTTCTTTTCCCCTTCTTTCTTCTTACAACAACCAGAATATTCAAAAGAAAATAAAAAAAGTAAAACAGTCCCAGTTATCAGTCAGTCCAAACCAAGGCAGAGTTCTCACTTTCTCCTTCTGGGGTAATATCAATCCAAGAGAAAGAAATTCCAAATCTGTTTAAAATCTTATTGCAATATATTCTAGTCTTCAAATCCTTAAGGCATCTGCTCCAACAAAGTCTTAGCATACAAATGTTTTCTTTTTAATCCTCTCTCTTCCCACTCATCGCTTAAAACCAATTTTCACCTAAAAGAAATAGGTTTCTTAATATCCAGTTATTTATTCCGTAGGAAAAGAGGGAAAGCTATCCTTTCAGCACCTTCAAACAGCCGCTTTTTTCCTCTTCTGGCAGGTATTATTCAGAAAGTCATACTTTTCAGGAATTTTATTAGATATGTCTTAGAGTCCTAGGAGCCAAGAAAACCTTTCTCCTCTCAATCACTTTCTCCACTTCCTCCTGCGCATTCTTACCCGGCTGCCAGCTTCTTTGTGGCGGCCATTACAGACCGCCGCTGCACCGTCCTGGGAAAAGGGAGTTCTGCCGGCCAGGGAGGGAGTCTGCAGCACCCCCAAACCCTTCTCCGGATCCCCCCTACCTTCAGCTGCCCCTGCAGGGCAGCCTAGCTCCGTACCCGGCTGGGTCGGAGCCCCAAAAACGGCTAGCGCGGCAGGGATCGCGCAGCTTCGCAAATCCCTGCCGCTCGCGAAGCCGACAAACCGGCGGAAAAGCTCAAAGTCTTTTTAGAACCCTATTGTAGTGGGTCACCCACCAATGAGCCAAAAATCAATCAAAAAGTGATCTGACCTTGACAATGGATTGATGATTATGTTTGCCAAACCTAGATCATGTAAACCAGTGATCCCCAACCTTTTTTATGCCACGGCCCGGTACCGGCATCAGCTGGGCGCCGCGGCCCGGTACCGGCATCAGCTGGGCGCCGCTATCTTTTTTTGATGAAAAAGTGCTTCCGGTGACCTCACTGGAAGCACTTTTTCATCAAAAAAAGATGGCGGCGCCAGCGCTTCTGGTGAGCTTTTCCGGGTAGAAATGGCTTTCTACCCGGAAAAGCTCACCGGAAGCACTTTTTCATCAAAAAAAGATGGCAGCGCCCAGCAACCAGCGGCCCGGTAGGACTTGTTCCGCGGACCGGTACCGGTCCGTGGACCGGTGGTTGGGGACCCCTGATGTAAACTGCCCCAAAACAAAAATTAGCTTCAGTGTGTAATGTTCAGTATGCTTGGGTCCATAGTTGCCATGGAAATCACGACCAACTAAGCTACTCCAGACTCAATATCACTGGGCAGCAAATTGAAATTTCCAAGTATTGCAAGGCTTTCAATCACCAATCCAGCAATGGAACCAGAAGCTCAGGCAGGGAAGATACTGTGCAGCAGGGAGGATAGTACAACAGCAACAGTCTTCTTCAGATAGTCTCTTACTTGATTATCTACAGGGCAGATCCTCTGAGGGGCCAACATAAAACCAAAGTAGCCACATCTCTGAGAGGGGAAACCCCTGTCTTGACCTACCCAGGTTTCAATGATACAAGCCAGGTCAGCTCTCTCATCCATTATCAAATCATATATGAGGACAGCTTTATTAGAGTGATCTGGCATTCAACAGCCGGAATTGTAGCCAGTTGTTACCTGGCTCTTAGAGTTGTTCCTGTAAGTTGGAAATTGGGATTTTAATTCAAACAGTGAGCCTAACATCTTTAAAAGTGAATGACCCCGCCCCAGCATCCCTTCATATCTGCCCTGAGGTTCCAGTTTCCACTAACCTCTATATCAAACAATAAATTTAATATTTTAGAAACCATATTACCTGATGAATAGGATGTGCAGCTTTTTCCATGATATCTACCCACCTTTGGGAAAAAAGTACAAAAAGGTATAGTTTTGTTGGGAAGAAAAGAATTATGCATCGACTAAAAGCAATTGAAAGGCTTATGCAAGATAAGATTGAAGCCTCTTGAACTGCGCACATTTGATATTTCTCTATTTGTCTAGTGCAAAAGAATGGATGGTAACTCACTGGAACACCTAGTTCCTTCTCTGAGCTGTGAACTTAGCATACACATTTGCTGAAGTGAGTAAGCTTGATGTGGTGGTTAAAGGCATATAGCTAGAATCTCAGAGGCTGTAAGTTCAAGCCACCCCAACCCCCTGGCCTATAAAGCTAACTGGATGACCTTGGGACAGTCACTGTCAGTCAATTCTATGAAACAAGCAATGGCAAACCACTTCCAAAAATATTGACAAGGAAACTGGAAAAATGTAACCAGTAGTTACCATGAGTCAACACTGACTCAAAGCACTAGGCAAACAAACAAACCCCCATTTTGTGCAAGTATAGCAGTTAAGATTATCTAGTGTTAGGTAATACAATAAATCTGTTTTATTAAGAAACTTGCTTTGAGGTAAAGCTTTCATCCTCATTATGAGGGTGTGGAGAGGAGAAGGAAGAAGTATTTTGTTTTGTCAGTAGCTAGAAGACTGAAGACAGTGCCTAAAAGTATCAATCTTTCAATCAGACAAAAGCAGTGTACAAGTAGTCTTCATTTAGCAACTGCCTTGTTTAATAATTGATTGCAATGCTGCTGCTGCTGCTGCTGATGAAAAAGTAACTTTATGACCCATCCTCACATTTACAAACATTGCAAGTCTGCAAAGCAAAAGAAAAGTTCATAGGCACAACTACAGTTTCACTTAAAAACCACTTCATTTAACCACCCAGTTACTGATTCCAGTTGTGGTCACTAAATGAGGGCTATTTGTAGAGATAGAGTGGAATGAAAGGAACACTCCTTGTTATTATCTTGATCATCAGTACTGCTAATGGTCAGTAACATGAACGATGCTTCTGGAGTTGTGTGTGTGTGTGTACACATACACACACGACACCAAGGAAATGCACTAATGGTAATTCTGGCATATACACCATATGTATGAACAGACAAGGAATAGTATAGAGCTGTGGTGTTAAACTCAAGGCCCAGGGGCCGAATCTGGCCCATGGGGTGTTTAGATCTGGCCTGTAGGGCTGCTATGAAAACAGCCAAGGACCGGCCTGCGGTGCCTTTGCCAGCGAAAACAGAGCTCGGGGAGGTTTCAACGGCTTCCTGCAACCCTCTGCCAGCAAAAATGAAGTTCGGGAGGGGCGTCCCTCCCGAGCTCCATTTTTACTGGCAGATGGTTGCAGAGGGCCGTCGAAACCTCCCGAGCTCTGTTTTCGCTGGCAGAGTGCTTGGGTTGCCACAGGCGATCCCGACACGAGTGACAACAAGCTGGCCATGCCCACCTGGCCCCCAAGGTCAAACACAACCCTGATGCGGCCCTGAATGAAATTGAGTTTGAAACCCCTGGTATAGAAGAAAGCATTAAATCCTTCTTTTGCTTCTGAACTTTTGATAGAGCTCTTTTTGGTCATGTGAAAAATAGAATCTTGGACCAGATATAACTCTGATGTGATCTAACAGAACTGCCATATTAAAGAAAAAAGAGAAATGACTCCACCCACCCCACCCCACCCCACCCCACCCCCCAAAAAACAAACAAACTACTGGGAATAAGAGAATGCTAACAGAGACAATCCTTGCCAGAGAAAGAGAGAACTGTAATTAAGTCTGAGTGCCATATGCTTGTTCTCCCTCACTCCCACAACAGGCTGATGGGTATTTCTGTTACATAACTTAATAAATGCAACACACACACACACACACACACTAAGCGAAAACATACTAATTTAATGACTGGAATGTACCTCTTCATTTCTTGGGCTGATATAGCGTAGAAATAAAAAACCCTGTTTCCAGCCCGAGGAACACATCTAAATGCAAAAGGCTTGCCCAGGCTGTTATCCACGCCAATTTCAGCACCTTCGACCTTTGTTACTTCCAACGGTCTGCATTTTCCTTCATCCTAAAACAAAATCAACAAATTCAAGTTTAAAGAGTGCTTGTGATGCAAGTTTAATTGTCAGAGGTTGAAAGGCATAGCCTTATTTATGTAGCAAGACTAATACTAATTTATCTAATCCTAATTTAGACAAATTGTGAAACACTTATGCTTCTGTCTAATGTTCCTACACATTGGATATCTCAATATTCTATATTTTCTAATAGCACAACTTGGAAAAAGGAGGCCAATTTCTCTGGCCACATTCCTCCACTTTCATCATCAGCACCATGATAATATTTTTAAAGTTTACAGAATATGGTGGATGACAATGGGTCATATAATGTTGCCTTGTAACCACAAATCTTATTAATATTTTCAGTCTAGTTGGACAATAGTTATTTGATTTTATAACTGACAGGTTATTGCAACATGTTTGTAAATCAATCATGGTCCCCAAATACAGTCAGAAAATACAATTTAAGTAAGAAACTAGTCCAATATGGAATTGAAATTGAATCTGATAGACCACGGATAACAGATCTTGCCCCTCCTCCCTTATTAAGCAAACCAATCTCCTACAGTTGGATTTAAGAAGAGTGATTAGGAAAAACTATCTCTTCAAAATGTTATACAGGTTCTGTTTCATGGGCAATCAATTTTGCTTTCTCAATCCTGGTCATTTTACATGTTGATGTTTGTTGATCAATATTAAGTTATAAATATTTAACCAAAGAAGTAGCAGGAGCAAACATAACTCAAAATCTTTGCCATCAAATATATATTTTTATAATTGGGAGAAAGGGAAGGATCTCAAATTGAATAGTATTATAGTCAGTATTCGTAACACTTTTTTTAATAAACAGACCCACTATTTGGACTAGGGTAACTTAAAACTATGACTTGATTCGATGCCAGCAAACATTTTTTTAAGAAAATTAGGACTGAAAAGAAAGGCTCTCTTTCAAAAATCTGTCCCACCAGTATAATGAAAATACATTTATGACTTTATAGAGCTGAGCCTTGAGCTGATACAAAATGGAAGTATAAATCTGAACCTAAAACTATAGAATGAATTCCTAACTATGGATTGCATAAATTATATCTTAGCCTTAGTGCATGTCATTTGGAGTAGACTTGAAATACATCCTAGCTCAGTTATTAGGGATGAGTTTGGTCCTGTTAATCTTGAGGAAGTGGGCAGGACTCTTAGAATTGAAAGCCATCTCAGTATATACTTTTATCCTTCTGCGCTACCCAAGGCTGACTGGGAAATAGTGTATGGTAAGTCTAACGAATGCATCCTTGTAAGGGAGGCAGTTCTGCTGACCTTTAAAGATACTATGGGCATGCTCTCTCCTCTTGAAAGATTCCTAAACACAAATTTTGTTTTGGACAAAATTTCATTGTTTAAAGATATTTGCCTCCTGCCATCAAAAGGCCCTGAATGAAACAGCATTGATTGCACCTATGAATAATCTCTGGAAAAAGTAGTATGGAGATAGTGTGTTCATTTTAGCAACCTTTGATACCATTAACTCTGGTATCCTTCTGGACCAGCTCCAGGAGTTAGAATTGGGACATTGTTTTATGCTGCTTCTCAACCTTCCTCTGCAGTCAGTGTCAATGAGGGATATGGGGATGTCTCACATTTCCTATGGTGTGGAATGCCTCAAGGCTCAACTGTCTCCCTGCTCATGTTTAACTACTTGAAGCCACTGGATATAAGGTCATTCAACATCTTGAAATGTGGTGTCATCAATACACTGATGATACCCTGCTCCATATCTCTGCCCTGAATAACCAAATGATGCAATGCAGGTTTTATCTCATTGCCTGGGGTCTGTGGGTTCTGTATGGAAAGAAGAAGATACAATTCAACCACAGCAAGATGGAGTACTTTGGGTTTTAGGGTCTCTTGGAGCTGATGATTTCCACTCTTTAATTCTACATCAGACAGGATTATTGCACAATTTGGGGTCCACGAACAGCAGGTAATAGATATGACATGGGGCTTTTCCACAGCTTTGTTATTCCCCTTCCTGGATAAGAAAGCCCAATACATGATCATTCATGCTTGGGTAACCCTCCAAATAGACTACTGTTATGCACTATATATAGGGCTGACCCTGAAGAACATTTAGAAGGTTCAAATGGTCCATTAAGTCCATGTTACACTTTTGCTCTGTGAAATGCCTCGGCTCCCAATTTGCTTCTGGGTAGAATTAAGAAGCTGTTTATTATTATGTATACATCTTTATATGGCATGGAACCAGAGTATTTATATGCCTTTTTTAGCTGTAAAAAAGTGATTTATTTAAAAAAAAATAAAGACACTGCATCTAGGTTGCATAAATTAAGACAACTATTTGATGGCACAAAGCGTTAGGATTTTGTTTAGAAACATTGCTCTAGTTATTCTCCTCTAGTGGTTCTGTGAGACCGAATTGCAATGATCAAACAATATCATATGGATTTAGCAAAGTACTGTGAAAACTGTACTGATAATATGTTACATCACATTTTATAAATACAGAATGAAATTTGAGTACAATGTGTATGTTCTACTTTATTGAATTTTAATTTACTGCTTTGTTCCATCTCCATTTTCAGTCCATAGTCTCTTGAAACCATTTGAAAACTGGCCATGTGTTCATGTTCAATTCTCTAACTTTTGAACACTAAATGTATGCTCATCACTATCACCCAATCAGTGTTTCTTCCAGGTGACCAATTGGATGATGAGAAATCATCATTCAAATAATGCCTTTCCCTCAAGCTACTGCAGCACTTAATAAAAAATATATTGACATTGCTATTTTAAACTGGTGACATTGCATAAATATATATGGGTCCAGAAAGGCTTTAGAATGGCTCGTAGTCTATTCAAATCTGTCTTAGTTTTATTTAGTACTCATAGCATATATGGTAGGTTAATTGTGTATGTGTGTATGTGTGTGTGCTGTCTGTAAAAATATAATTTGTGCAAAAGTGTCCAGTTGTAAAATGTTCACTTTCAGATTTTGATGAAGTTTCTTATAAGTTGAATTTGATGTACAGCTTTCCTATGTAAAAACTAAAGAGATGTTTTATTTTAAAAAAAATGGCTAGATAAATTCGTAGAAAGTAGTTAATTTCAAATGCTTATGCATTTATACACACAGATGCACAAACAAATCTTGTGGTTAATTCTAGCCAGATTACTGTTGTTTCAGAAGGCATTTTATTTCTCTAATATTATATTTAGCTAAAATAAATAATAAAACTGAACAGCTGTGACTTCATCAGTGTGAAGAGCTTTGTTTGATGCTTGCACAGTATGCTTCTTCTTTTTCTAAAATTCCAAAAGATAAGCAGCACATTTTTATTATAATGCTATGAACAGGATTTTATTTTCTTAAAACTCCCTTTACAATCCCAATGAGGCTATTGTATTTTTTTAAAAAAAAAACTATCGCAAGATATTTAGCTTTATTTGCTGAAACCAAATGTAAACCAACAGTGAAATAAAAATGAAGAAAAATGACACAGAAGGAAGATGAGAGCAATAACAAAGCTTCTGTTTTAAATGCCAGAGGTCCTCTATTTAATTCTTTACATCTCGAGATAGATCTGAAAAGATATCTGTTTGACTCTCTGAAGAGTCACGAGTCCTACTTATAAAATGGAAGTGTTGCTGTCTTATATAATGTAGGCTCCTGCTTCATATGGAAATCATACAAACTTGCAACCCAAATGCCAAGATTTTTTTCCCTATGAACAGAAGTTATTTGAATAATGCTGTCTGGGGTAGTGGAGGTGCTTTATCAGATCACTTACATAGTGAGTTATCCCATTTTTGTGACATTGGAACAGAGATTCTCCTGATCAACTTCTAGGCCAGCATTTATCAATCTTGGCAGCTTACAAATGGCTGGACTCCAACTTCCAGAATTCTCCAGCCAACTTGAAGTCCATCCATCTGAAAGCTGCTAAGGTTGAGCTACACTGTTCTATACAATTGAAAATTAAAGGAGCCAATCATATTTCTTAATATTAAAGCAGTTTCACACTTTTTGTGAATTAATCATGGGAGATTAAGATATTAATAAGCCTTTGTGTATCACCTGGCTAGAGAATAGAGTTTCCCAAGATTAGTGTTAGTTACATTTCAATATGAATTCACAGGATTGAGGACTACTGGTTTGAATCTCTTCGCTGACAGACTGAAACCACGATTGTGTGCATTTTCGATCCGTGCTCACCGCTGGAGTGCCCCGAGCCAGCTGGTTTTGGGGCTAAGCCACCCCATAGAGGTGGTGAAGAGGGGGGAGATTGCCAACAGGGTTGAGGAGAGATGCATCTCTCCTCCTCAGCTGTCCATTACTCCCTTTCCTGAAGGTGGTTGCAGCAGTGGTCAGAAATGGCCTCCTCAAAGAAGAACTCGACTGGAAAAGAATGTGCAGGAGGAAGATAGGAAGATAAAGTTTTGGTTGACTGGGTTAATCTGCAAAAACAACGTAAGGTACCCTGGAATTTAAAATATAAAAAAAATAACATTGTTCCCAAAGAAGATTTTGAAGCAGTGAAGGAGAGAGGGAAGGGAAAGGACTTGTTTTTTTCCCCTTTCCTTCCTTATACTGACAGCTAAGAGACGTAAGCAAGAAATTTAAAAAAAATACCACTTTGACGTCAATAGGCATTTAAGATGAAAATAAAATGTCAAGGGGATAATAAAGATTTCTGGATACTTAAAAGCTTTTAAAAGCAGGAAAGGAGAGAAAAAGAATAAAAGGGCAGGATCTGGAAAAATGGAGGAGACTGCCTGGAATTAAAAGGAATTTACAGTGAAATCTCAACAAGATTCCTAAAAGATACATTTGAACTGAAACCTGGCAACAAAGTAATAGAACCCTAGGAAGAGAAATTGGAAAAAAGAAGCAAGAAGAAACATTCTTTGGATTACTTGGATTACTTGGCGATCTTTGGATTTTTGGTTATTGCATTTAAATGACTAAAATCAATCGGGTGGTTGTTTAAAAGTG